CCTGTTAGAAAGCTTCTAAAAAAAAAAAGCATGATTTTATCAAAGTTGAGAAATTGCTTTGAGTTTCTTCTTTCTGCCTAATCAGCTTCATCAGCTCAGCCACAAATGTGTCAACAACTTCTCTATTGGCAAGCATACCCACTCCAGTGATTTGCATGATATTGGTCCACACTTATCCCCGAATCTGTGTAACCATCCATTTCTTACAATAAAGGCCTTGTTTTCCTTCACTTCGGGGAATCCTTTTGTCAGGATTAGTGCTAGATAATGTAACAGTGTTTCCAGTGGGAACACATTTTCTATTCATTTCTTTTCCTAGAAAATTTGATATCATCTCCATATTAACTGAACAATTATCATGCACTTCTATCATTACTTTTTCAATTTTACATGTGACAGCAAAAAATTAAACAGGTTTTTCTTTCATTATAGTGCTTTAAAAATGGAAAATTTGTTCTCAGTGTAGATATTAGCAATTTAAGCACACATTTTTATTTTTCATTATTAGGTCAGTAACTTGAACAGTTTCACTTTGAAGGATAGTTCTATGTGTTTACCTTGGCACAATTGAATTGCCAATATCTTATTCTTGTGTTTTGGGTATATCATTAAATACAGTAAGGTGAACTTGAATACAAGTGTGATTGTGATGTAAATGATACTGCGACAGATTGATAACTGAGATGGCTACTAACATGACTAATGAGTAGTAGGTTATATGGTATGGATAGGCTGGACAACGAGTGATTCATGTCCCAAGCAGGAAAAACAAAATAATGCACAATTTCATCCTGCTTCTCAGAATCACGGGCAATTTAAAACTTATAGACTGTTTCTGAGATTTTCTATGTAGTGTTTTCAAACTGCAGTTACCTGGAGGCAACATAAGCCAAGGTTGCTGATAACTTGGGGTGTTACAATAATCTTGACTAACTTTACCTTGAAATAAATTTTTATTAAGCTTAGTGGCTTTTTTTTTATTAAAACTGACTTTTATCCTCTTTAAAATGATCAACATTTCAAACACTAAATCATTTTATTGTTTAATTGTTCTCAAAATTTATAATGATATTGGATTCATCTAAGTTTAATGGTAGATGACAATTTTAATTTCTGATTTCATTGTAATGCTAGCACAGGAATATACATCTGCAGGAGGGTGTACTTGCTACCTGCTACAATTGTTCTTCTTGATTTATTAATATTGAATTCCTATCTTGAGAGAGAAAATTCTTCTTTTTATTACAAATGTCTTACTTCTCTTTTACATATCTTCTATATTTTAGCTCACATTGTAACAGTAACCTAATTATTAAGGATATTACTAATCTTTATTCTATTTAAGGTCAGAATGTAACGATAAGTCTTTCTGCCAGCGGCCTGAGTTCTGCCATCACTTTAGGGCCCCCAAATAACATACAGAGAGTAATATTACTTACAATGTTGTTGGCCAATGACTAGGATTTCTTATTTGCTAGCTCTGTCTTAAGTATCAACCATACCCATTGATCTATATATTTTATAAAGACTTATCATATCGAGGATGGCAGCAGCATGTGTCCTCTCTTCTTGGGATCACATGGAGACTCCTCTCTTTCCTACATTTCCCAGAATCCTCCTTATCTCCTAGTCCTGCCTAACTTGCCTCCCTATTGGCCAACAGTGCTTTATTTATCAAACAATAAGACAAACATATACACAGAAGGGCCTTCCCCATCAGTCAGAACACATTTTCTTTGACTGTCGTCTTTCTTCACATGAAGCCTGAGTTCAGATACCTAATATTTCTGCCCTTTCTTCACTGTTCTGTGCATTTCCTGGAAAAACAATAGCAAAGAATTAGTGAGCTTGCAAAGAGAACTTGAGTGTGTGTTCCTGGTTCCTCATTTACTCTCTTCTTTTAGGGCAGGAATTTCTGTAAGAAGCATAAGTTTACTCAATAATTCCCAGATACATTTTCTTGCAGGGAAGCTAAGTTTCCAGGAACAGGTTATAACTTTGGGATGTTCTTTTTCTATGTTTTTCACTGTGGATCACTTATCTCTTCATATGCATTACTTTCTCCATTATTGTGTTCATGTCTAAAACGTTAGGGTTTACTCTGATATCTGCCATATACTTCTACTTTAGTTCATAGTTGTCTTAGAACTTCAGGTATGAAATGAAGTATGAGGCATTCTTAAATTTTCAACAATATCTATAATACCCAGTCCCATTGATCCTAGATGTTTAACATAGATCAGGTTTTTGTTTACTGTTCCCCAGCATCTTTGCTTTGGTTTATTAGTTTCCCATATAGCAGAAACCATGAGACTGACTGGGTTTTTTTCCATGTCAAAGCTACCTCCAGTAATCCTCCACAGTAATGCTAAGAAGTAATATATATTGAAATGGAAATTTTCTATTTTGTTATTTCTCCACAGCTTCTTGGATTTATTCCAGACTTAAATTTTTGTCTCAAGTGACTCTTTTTCAGCTGGTATCTACCATTGTCAGTTTCCATTTTTAATGACTCAACAAACTTTCAGAGTATTTGAAGCAAGGAAAAACATTCTAGTCTGCCCATCTCCCATCACACAAATTGTCATATCACTGACAACAAAGCCTTTCTATTTTTCATTCTTTGACCTGATAGACTTGTCATTTTCAAAAAGTTAACTTTGGCTTCACCTTGCCAAGAATTTTTTAATTTCCATATTCTATATGTTTTCCTCCATGTCTTCTAATATGCAGTAAAATATTTCACTTATTTGTTTCTGTACTCTATTATTTTCCATTTTCATATTGTATGTTTTATTTTTATATTTTATTTTTTAATCATTTTACATACCAATTACAGTTTCTCCTCCCATCCCTTTTTCCTTTCCCCCATCACCCCTAACACATCTCCATCTACACCTCAGAAAGGGTAAGGGCCTTCCATGGAAGTCAACAAAGTCTAGCCCATTCAGTTACCACAGGACCCCCCCCCCAACACACACACACACATCAAGGCTGAGCAAGGTATCCCACCATATGGAATGTGCTTCAAAAAGCCAGCTCATGGACTAGGGACAGATTCTGATCCCATTGCCAGGTGTCCCCAAAATGACCAGGATGCAAAGCTATCTATCACCTGCATGCGGAGAGCTTGGTTGGATCCTATGCAGTATCCCCAGCTTGTCTAGAGTCTGTGAGCTCCAGAAAGTTCATTCTTACATTCATTTGCTCATCCATCCCTTCATTTTCTTATGATAGTGAGCCTGTCATACACCACAGTTTGGGAATTGTGGGTAGGTGCAGGTTAAATGGACCAGGATGCAGAGAGTCATCTTTCTATCATCAATGGACCCTGTGGAATTAATGCAGTGTACATTTGATACCATTGCCCAGTAGTGGAAATTCTTTTGCACTGAAAGACCCCGAAGGGATACTTTCGTAGAGGGAGACCCACACACCCAGGAACCAGCGAGGCCACGAACTGGATGTAAAAAACAAGAGGCTTTATTGGAGACGCGGGTACCCGGGGCGACTTAGCTTTTCTGAGGCCAAGCGCGCCGAGCCAAGGGAAAGGCGTCCTTATATAGGGAAAAAGGCACAAGCTAGGAGCAGGGATTCTATTTGATGGTTCAAATGAGGCACAGAGCCATTCCAGATCAGCATATTCTCAAGGTCTGGTGTCTGGTACAACAGACTTGATTCCTCCCTCCGCGCCCAGGTGGCTGACCTTGGGGGCGGAGACCTTGGGACGGAG